AAACACACGAAAATAGCTTAAAACACTCTTATAAGCAATAACTAACTAAGTAAATGCAAGAAAACATGTTAACTAAGTCGCATAAATATGCTCCTATAAAAAGGATTGCACAATCCTAAGGGAAAAGGATTGCAGGTTCTAGGGCTTCTAGAAAGGGTCCAGGTGCCAGATTTGTAGGACAAGGGATAAGGCCTTCTAGGAAGGTTGTTTTGTGGCTGATTCCTAGAAAAACAAGGGATAAGGTTCGGCACCTTTGTAGGAGTGGATAATGGCTTCTAGAAACCTATTTTAATGTGTCCTAATCTGAAAATAAATCCCCCATGCAGCTAGAATTAAATTAGGATATGATTAGGATATGATAAGATAAGATAAGGTTGGATAAGGTTTTGGATAATGTTCTTTCTTTTGAGTTGATTTCTTATCTTCCTTGACTTGGATTTATTTCTTCACTCTTTTCAGCACATTCCTAGCCTCTTGAACTTCAAATTCGTCCATCCATCTTGCTCCATTCATAAGCTATCCATTTGGTGCCCAAAACTGCCTCAAAATGCTCCAAATTGCACTCTCTTGCCAACTTTGTCATATGGACCTACAAACACACGAAAATAGCTTAAAACACTATAATAAACACAAACAAACTATGAAAATGCAAGAAAACAAGTTAACTAAGTCGCATAAATATGCTCCTATCAAGAAGATATTGAAATCAAGTTTCGATATGAAAGATCTTGGTCTAGCTAATGTGATTCTTGGTATAAAAATCAAAAGAAACCAAGAAGGTTATACTTTCACACAATCCCATTATATAAAAGCTACACTTAGAAAGTATGGTCATTTGGAAAGTAAAGATGCAATTACTCCCTTTGATGCCAATAGCAAACTAAAGAAAAATAGTGGTGATGCTATATCTCAATGTGAATATTCACAAGTTATTGGAAGCCTTGTGTACATTATGAACTGTACAAGGCCTGATATGGATTGCATTGTACGAGGTATCCTCCTGTGCTTGAAGGATTTACTGATGCAAATTGGATATTTGATAGCACTGATATGAAATCCACACGTGGATATGTATTTACCTTGGGAGGAGCAGCAATATCTTGGAAATCTTCCAAACAAACGTGCATAGCCCGATCAATGATGGAATAAGAATTTATAGTTCCTGATAAGGCTAGAGAAGAAGCTGAGTGGCTAAGAGATTTTTTGGAAGATGTTCCCATATGGCCTAAACCTATAACGGTAATATGTATACACTGTGATAGTTTAGCTGCATAATATCGAGCTAAAAATAGTGTATACAATGGGAAGTATAGAAAAATTAGACGAAGGTATAATACAATAAAGCAATGGCTCTCTAGTGGTGTAATTTCTATTGACTATGTCAAGTCAAAAGATAATATTGCAAATCTGCTTACTAAAGGTTTATCTAGAGAGCAAGTTAAGCATACATCGAGGGTAATGTGTTTAAAGCCAATAAAGTAAAATGAAACTGCCAAACGGAAACCTAACCTAGTTGATTGGAGATCCCATGGTCTAGGCTCAATAGGCAAACTAGTTTGGCTAGATTCAAAGAAGAAACACACTTAGATACCCATTCCTATGATGGAAGAAGTGTGGTGACTGCTGATGGGTGTAGGATACATTAGTTTAATGATATTGATACTTGTAAATCAAGTGGAATAGTAGCAACCTATTCTTAATCAATATCACCTATATAAGAGTAAATGTGGGGTTGCATTTATGAGAATTACATGGCTACATTCTCTAAAGCTCTCATGAATTCATGATTTGTTCAGGACCAAAAAGAACCCAAACGTATGAATTTGTGATGTGTTGGTGTGGCATATATTTTTCTTATTGTCTTGGTTTACTGCGGAGATGAACAATTCAAGATTTTATATTCACTGCGTCATCTAGTAAATCTGATAAGTATATACTAAGGTAGGTTCAAGTCCAAAAGACACCTCTCCTGGTGTATGTCACATCTATTGTTTACTCTCGTATCTTAGTTTCTCTAGGACCACATAGTCGTCTCAAAATGTGGGGTATTGTTGGAGTTTTGAGACTCTTAGTGTCCCACATCGGGGAACTTTTAGTTCCCATTGCCATTTATATAGTTCTAGTCCTTTGTTCTAGTAATTACAACTTGGACCATTTGGAAATGGATTGAAGGCTTGGGCTTTATGGTTGTGTGGATTAGGTTTGTATAATATAGCCTAATACAATTAATATTAATTAATCAAGACAAGGACCTTAGGGCCTTGGAAGTTAAAATTAATCCAAGTTCATTAATTTTAATTTCGGATTAAGTTTTGAATTAACATATTAATTAAGAAACGTTTGATTAAGAGACACAGCTCTTAGAAAGAGTTGCGTGTTTTCAAATACGCTTAACATGTATTTGAAAGGGTGTGAAACAACCTAGATATTTGCAATCACAGCTTCCAACAGGTATTTTAAAAAAATGTTCTGGAAACCACGATATATATATATATATATATAAAGCAAATGTCCACTCACTGATAAGTAGCAAGATCATAGCCCCCCAATCTCGCTTGTCCACCCTTGTCCTCGGGGTATGTTTCACCTATATGCGAAATAACTAATTTTTCGTTAATTTTAAAGCACATACATAAACCTGAGTAATAACTTCTCATACGTTGCTCAAATGGGGTGTTTGAATATACCAAAATGATCTACTTGACAACACGAACACCCCTATATTTTTAGAATAATTTTTGGCGTCACACGCTCCTTCACGCTCCGACCAAGGCACGGCCACACACACAGGCCACGCGCACGAACGTGCTTAGCACACTGACGAAATCCTTAACGGCATTTGGGAATATTCTATTAAAATAGTAGAATATTCTGTTAAAATAGTAGAATATTCCGTTAAATCCTAATAGAGTTACTTCACGCTATCAGTATATTCTATCAAAGTTGACGGAATATTCCTCTTCTTCTTCGGTGACTAGTCGGAATTCACCGCCGGCTGCCGTCTCTACTCGCTGGTTTCTAGAAAAATTTCAAAGTTTAATATCCTCTTCAATTCTCAACCAAAATCCAAGAAACTTATATGGATTTGAAGGTCTTGAAGAGTAGAACATAACCATACCTATTAGAGGTCCAAAATCTAAGGGAAAATGGTCAGAATTATCCTTGGAAAAGCCTACCAAAACAGGAACTTCAAGAACTCGACTATTCCGACATCCAAACCAATCCAAAATTGCTCCAAGATGTTAGAGAAGTTGAGTGGGTACCTTACTAAGCCTTAAAACCTCAAAATCACGTCAGGATCATGACGGAGCAAACTTCACCTCACCGGAGGTTATGGGTTCTCGAGTTCCCGTGATTCGTTCTTCGAACTAAGGGTATGGTTTAAATTCCTAAGCTTGCAAGGAACATGAAGGTGGTCTTCAAAAGCTCGATCCGTGCGAGTTGATGATGGTTGGGTGTTTGGGTGCTACGGTGTACGGACGAGGAAAGGTTGAGAAGGTGAGGGAGAAAAGAAGGATGCGTACATGTGTGGGTGTATGTGTGTGTGTGCACAGATTGATTAGAAGAAAATGATCACAAGCCCTAATTGGGCTGCCATGAGGAAAAGAGAGAGAGTTAGGTTCTAGTTGGCCCAAGGAAAACAAAAGAATCCAAATCTGATTGGCTCAAGAATATAGGGACTAAAATGATTGGTGAATAAGTGATAGGCAACCCAAAATTATATTTCTACCCCATCTCGATCATTAATCTCTGTAACATTTTTGTTAGAAATCCGATTCGATGCTTATGACATCAAGTACGATTTAATTACAACGGCGAGGAAATAATTTAAAACTACATAAGTGTATCCACGTCACCAAGCCAACGAGGGCATATTCGTCACTTTACACACTCAGAGAGAAAAATATATAATAATTTGGGATGGGTCGTCACAGTCTACCCCTTTAAGAAAATTTCCCCAAAATTCCTACACATCAACAACCAATGTTCTAAAAATCAGCCTAGGCGGCCGCCTAGGCACTTGGCGGTGGAGTCCTGACCGATTTAGGCTAAGGCGTTCTAGTGAGGCGGGGAGAATTTAGGCGGCCGCCTAGGCGCTAGCTAGATGCTCAAGGCGGTATTGGCGGTGCTAGGCGGTGGTCTAGGCGGTAGTCAAGGCAACTCCCAATCTCGCTACAAATCTTGCCTCACATCCTCACGATCCACCATCGACAACCCAAATCTTCAAACCAGCACTCTTACACCCAACATCAATCGATAAACCCACTGAAATTAAAAAAAAAAAACTGAAGAATGAAACTAAAATTCACGACGCCTCAAGTAGATTGAGAAGATGATGGGTTTTGCTGCAGAGAAAAGGGGATCTGCAGAGAAGAGAAGAGAGAGAGAGAGTCGAAAGAAATGGATGAAAAAAGGCATAAATGCTAAGGACACCCATTATTCTTTATTTTAAACTAGCATTGGCCTTGGAGAAAGCTGATGGAGAATAAAGGTGTGGCCGCCTTGGGAAAATACCACTTTTCCACTAACCAAATGATGGTTGGGAACTTGGGAGTCAGGACTGGCCTTGTAGAAAGCTGTGGAAAAGGAATCGAGGTGGTTCAATTGAAAAACGGGCTTTTCTTTCAAGTTAGGTCTATTTAAAACTAAGCCCATTATTCTATATAATAAATATTTATTTATGTATTTTTTTAATTTACATTTTTTTCTTCTAATTCTCTATACAAGTATGGTTTTTCTAAGTGTGAATATATGTATACTTATATGTTAATATGTTATATAATAAATTTATTTTAAAAAAAATACAAATCCGTCTAGGCCGCCTTGGGCCCCGCTTAGGCGCCTACCTAGGCGCTAGGCTCCTGCCCGCCGCCCGACTAGCGCCTAGCGATTTTTAGAACCTTGTCAACAACACATCAATAACCATAAAATAGATGTGGATACAGATCTTGCATATGCTTTTCAGTTTCCCAAGTGGCTTCCTCAACCGAATGATTCCTCTATAAAACTTTCACCATGCGCACAATCTTGCTTCCGAGAACCTTATCCTTCCAATCCAAAATCGTTACTGGCTCTTCATCATAAGCCAAATCTGGGTTAATCTTTAGTGGTTGAGGAGGGATCATGTGCGATGGATTAGAGACATAGTGACGAAGCATAGACACATGGAAAACATCATGTACCTTTAATAACTCTGGAGGCAGCTCAAGCCTATAGGCAACTTCACCAACTCGCTCGGTGATCAGATATAGTCCAATATACCAAGGACTTAATTTACCTTTCTTACCAAACCATACCACGCCTTTCCATGGAGATAACTTTAGAAATACCTAATCTCTAACTTTATATACTCTGTCAGTGGCATGTTTATCGGCGATACTCTTTTGTCGATCCTGGGCTGCTTTCAGGTTAGCTTTAATCACCTGATATTCTGTATGGTCTCATCCACAATCTCGGGGCCCACTAGCACTCTTTCACCCACTTCAGACCAACATAACGGAGTACAACATGAATTACCATAAAGCGCCTCAAAAGGTGGCATGTCAATGCTAGATTGATAACTGTTATTATAAGCAAACTCGATCAAAGCTAAATGCTTATGCCAAGTGTCTCCAAATTGCAAAATCGAGGATCTCAGCATATCTTCTAGCATCTTAATGGTTCTCTCAGATTGTCCATCCATCTGAGGGTGATAAGCTGTGCTATAAAGCAATCTCAAACTGAGAGCTTCCTAGAAAGTTGCCCAAAATTTAGAGGTGAACCTGGGATCTCGATCAGAGATGATACTAATCGGAACACCATGGTACTTGAACCGTTCCGCCAATTGATTCAACGAATAATTTTCTCGAATGGGTATAAAATGTGATGACTTGGTAAGTCGATCCACTACCAAATACCATCATAACCATTTCGCGTACGAGGTAACTTGTACACGAAATCCATAGTAATATCTTCCCATTTTCACTGTGGTACGGGAAATGGCTGTAGTAACCCAAAAGGTCTCTTCCTCTCTACCTTGACTTGTTGACATACAGCATAACGACTCACATATTCAGCAATCTTTCTTTTATTACCAGGCCAATAATAGAAAGGTCGAATAGTGTGATACATCTTGGTACTTCCAGGATGCATTGCATATGCTGAAACGTGTGCCTCATCAAGAATATCTTTCTTTAATTCTTCAATATTAGGCACGTATATTCGGTTACCCTGCATCAGCATACCATCGGAATTCCTAATCCTGAGATATTTCTTTTTCCCATCTGAAACTGCCTGAATTAACTCCTGAGATTCTGTATCATTCATTTGAGCCTCGACCACATGGTCTATCAAGATTGGTCTGACTCGAAAACTTGCAAGTAAGGCTTCTTCTCGATCTTCCACTTCTAAATCAACTTCAGTAGATCTCAATTCAATGAGGAGAGGAATACGACATGCATGAAAAGCATTAATTCGGCCTCGTGATTTCCTACTAAGTGTATCTGCCACTACATTCGCATGATCGGGATGATACTCAATCTGTAGTCGTAATCACTAAGCAATTCTATCCACCTCTGTTATCGGAGATTAAGATATTTCTATGTGAAAATATATTTGAGGCTTTTATGATCCGTAAAAATCTTACACTTTTTGCCATAAAGATAATGCCTCCATATCTTCAGAGCAAAAACAATGGTCGCCAACTCAAGATCATGAGTAAGATAATTCATTTCGTGAGGCTTTAATTGTCGCGAGGCATAAGCAATCACCCTGCCATGCTGCATTAACACACAACCCAAGCCATTCAAGGAAACATCACTATAAATCTCGAAGTTCCCACTATCATGTGGAAGTGCTAAAATAGGTGCATGAGTAAGGCAATACTTCAGCTGCTAAAAACTTCGCTTGAAATCATCATCCCACTCAAAGTTAACTTCCTTCATGGTCAACCTTGTTAATGGCAACGCTAAAATTAAGAAATCTTTCACAAAACGTCGATAATAACCGGCTAGGCCCAGAAAACTCCGTACTTCCGTGATAGTAAGAGGCTATTCCCAATTCTTGATAGGAGCATATTTATGCGCCTTAGTTTAGCTTGTTCTTGTGCATTTATAGTGTTTTTCCTTAGTAAAGTAGTCTTTTAAGCTAGTTTTATGTGTTTTCAGGTTCTAAGGGCAAAGTATGCAAAAGGATGCATTTTGGAGCCTTTTGGAGCAATTTAGAGCTTGGAATGGACAACATATGCTTGGAGCCAAGAGAATGGACGAAATTGAAGATTTGAAGATGATGTTTCCTACTTGAGCAAGGTTTCCTAGTTGAAGTAGGAAAGTGCTTAATTGAAGATGTAATCCTAGTCAAAGTAGGAGTTCTAGTTGAAGAAGGATTCCTAATCAACGATGGATTCCTAATTGAAGATGGATTCCTAGACGAATGAAGTTTCCTACTCAAACAAGGTTTCCTACTTGAAGTAGGAAAGTTAAATCCAAATGGCATCAAGTTTCAAGAAGAAAGAAGTATTCCAAGTTGAAGAAGGAAAAGGTTTCCAAGAAGAATGAGGATTCCCAAACACTTTAGGACACCTTATCCTTGCATTAGAGGGTTTCTAGAAGCCCTATCCAATTCCTAAGAAGGTTCCGCACCCTAGCCTTCTAGATGCCCTATTTCCTTGCCTTGCAAGGCTTTCTAGAAGCCTTATCTTACCCTATCCTTTAGTGCCGCACCTTTTATCCTTTTCCCATTGAATTTCTGATTTCTAGGCCTTTTTCCTTGTGGATTTGGATTCTAGAAGTCCATATCTGATTCCCCTAGGGTTTTTAGAGCCTATATAACGGATGTGCCGCACCCATTCATACACACCATCCTTCATAAATCATTCTACACGCCAGCATCACAACTCCTTCTCTGCCGCAGCCTTGCACAACCATACATCCATATTTCTGACCTTAACCACCATTGCCGTGCCCCCCATTCTCCCTAAACACCTCTATCCTAGTCCATACCCATTCACCCATACACCTAAATCCCTAAACCTGACCATAGACCCTTTGCCGCACCAAGGAGGAGGAGAATGAAGCTTGGAAGTTCATGCCATTCAAGTTTAAGTTGCTGGAATTTCTAGGTGTTTCCTTTCCTTTGATTTCAATGTTTAAATTCTATACTCTTTGTTTTGTGCATATGAGGAACTAAACCCCCCCTTGGCTAGGGGGGATTCGAAACCATGTTTATGCTTGCTATATGATTTGATTACTTCTAATTGCGTTTCATAAGTTGTGAATTCAATTTACTTATCTACAAGAATTAAAACTGATTTGTGTATGTTGGTTGAGGGTCGACACTTAATTTGCATGCATGAATTTGATGCTAGGATATAAGGGAGTTTCACCTAATCGTTATGAACTTATATTCACAAGTAGTAAAGGTTGATGATCTCAATCGCGTTAAGTAAATTCTTGGCATAAGTTTCATGCAATCATAGTAACAAGTGCTTCGTCAATGCTTATGATTTTCATAGAACTTAATGATTCTTGCTTGTATCTCTATTATGCAATCATGTAGGGGACTTGTGGGGAATGCTTTGGGTTGTCGTATGCAATCATCCAATTCAATAACATTAGGAAAATCTGAAGGTTAATTTAAGCGGACCTAATTAACTTGGGGCGTTGGGAATTCATGGTTTATTGAAAAGCAATTGGAAATCGTTTTATATGCAAGTGTGACATGTGTGGAGATGAACCCCTTAGCTAGCCTTCCATCCATCCATTTAAACCAAATTCGTTTTAGAGTCTTTTCAATTTACAAAGTTTTGTTTTGTTTTCAAAATTCGTCCAAAATCAATTCCCCTTTAGTTTCAAGTGTCAAATTAGTTAGAAATCCATTTAGTTTGTGTTTTTAGGTGTCTTGAGTCAAGTTAAAATCAATTTTCGTCCAAATTCTTCCCTAGTGCTCAAAACTGCCCAGAAAGTGGTTTTAAGGCAGTTTTGAGTGTTTGTTTGCTGTTTTGAGTCTTTTGGTTTGTTTTCGTGTTTTAAAGTTTAGATTTGTGTTCTTTGAGTCTAGTTTAGTGTTTTAAACTTTGTTTTTAAGTTTTTGAGTCAGTTTTCAAGTGATTTGGCAATCCCTCCTAATCCCCGGCCTAGAACGATCCCTACTTACATACTTGCTACAATTGATAAAAAGAGGGTTTAATTTGAGTGCTAGTTAATTTTCACATCAAATTTTGGCCGTTGCCGGGGATTAGCAACATTGCTAATCCCTTGGATTGTTTATTTTAGTTTGTTTTAATTCGTTCCAGATTCTGAGTTTGTTTTGTTTCTTGTTTTAGGTACTAGTTTATGACTCGGAGTTCTCATCCGATTCGTGAACACATCTTGGACTTTGACGACGATTTTGAGAGGACTTTGAGAAGGAATAGGAATCAACAAGATCAATTTCCTGAACCTGAGCGTGAGGAACATCCCATTGAAGAAGAGGACCAACCCACGGCAAGAGTAGGTGAAGAAGAGGAAGTTATGGCACAAGACAATCGCACCATCAAGGAGCTTTCGGCTTCGGGATTGGACAATGCCGCACCCCTATGCATTCAATACCCAGCGGCTGCCCAAGGAAAGACCGAGGAATTCAAGTTGAAGTCAAGTTTGCTACACCACATTCCGAAGTACCATGGTTTGTCCATGGAGGATCCTAACAAGCATTTGAAAGAATTCGAGGTGGTGTGTTCAAGCATGACTCCAATCAACGTGGATGGGAGCATATTGAAGATGAAGGCCTTTCCCTTTTCTCTCTTGGAAAAGGCGAAAGATTGGTTGTACGAATTGGCTCCCGGAACTGTCACATCGTGGGAGAGCATGAAACGGGCCTTCTTGGAGAAGTTTTTTCCAACTTCTCGAGTCATCCTCCTACGAAAAAGGATAAGTGGAATTCAACAAGATGAAGGTGAGTCTTTTCCTACGTATTACGAACGTTTTAAATCTCTTGTTGCGTCATGTCCACAGCATCAAATGAATGAGGAGCTTCTTTTACAATATTTCTACGAGGGACTTCTACCAATCGAACGGCAAATGTTAGATGCCTCAGCGGGAGGAGCATTGGTGGACAAGACCCCTACGGCTGCAAAGATGTTGATTGCTAATCGAGCGTTGAACGCTTAACAATACGAAGGTGTTGGACAAAGGAGCATGCCACAACAACATCAAGTCAATGAGGTAAGTGCCATAATCGAACTTCAAAATCAAATGGCTAACCTTACTACGTTGCTTTCTCAGGTGGTGGAAGGTTCAAAAGTCAAAACCGTAGCTTCTTGTGGCGTATGTTCCATGCAAAACCACCATACGGACAAGTGCCCCCAATTGATAGAGAATGGAGGGTGGGAGACACTCAATGCTGTGGGATATGGCAACCAATACCAATCACATGGTGATCCGTTTTCCAATACTTACAATCCCGGTTGGCATGATCATCAGAATTTCAACTGGCGAGACCCCCAACAAGGCCAACAACAAAGTGGATTTAGGCAACAACCCCAGGGTTTCTATCAAAAGTCGTTGGCACCACCACAAGCCCAAGCACAACCTGCCCAAAGCAATGCAAGTAATTCAAGTGATAATGATAAGATTTTTCAATTACTTACTACCTTGACGCAGGAAGTCCAAAATCAAGCCAAAGAGAGGCAAATCCAAGACAAGAGGGTGGACAACTTGGATAACCAAGTGGGACAAATTGCCGAGTTCATAGGGCAATTTTGTGAGCAAGGAAGGTTGCCTAGCTCAACGGTGGTCAATCCGAAAGGTGGATTCGAATCTGCAAAGGCTATCACGCTAAGAAGTGGGAAAGAAGTAGGAATTAAGCCAAAACCATCCAAATCTGGCCCCAAGGAGGACGAGAAGTTGAAAATTGAAGAGGAGGACCAAGCAAAGGCCACGGCAAGGATTGAGCAATCCTTGCCGCAACCACCCAAGCATTCCAATTCGGCCAACACAGGTAAGAAAGGTCCAATTCCATTTAATTCTAATGTTATTCCTCCGGATGTACCCTTTCCTAGCAGATTTTTGCAATCCAAGAACGAAGAGGAGGCAAAAGATGTTCTAGAGACATTTAGGAAAGTTCAAGTCAACATACCCCTTTTGGATGCAATCAAGCAAATCCCGAAGTATGCCAAGTTCTTAAAGAAGCTTTGTACAACAGGAAACGTTTTCGGGAGAAAGAAGTGGTACATGTAAGTGAGAATGTCTCCGCCATGTTGCAACGCAAACTACCCCCCAAATGCAAAGATCCGGGTAGTTTTACAATTCCTTGTGTCATTGGTAACACTCGCTTTGATTCCGCCCTAT